ACCAGCCGGCTTTGAGGTGGAAAAAAGCATCATGCGCAACTGAAAATAGGGGTGACAGCGAAGATCGGCTCTCGTCAGTACACTTTTCGGCCAAGAAGTGTACGCTAAACATAAAAATTTTGTCGCATATCTTTACTTCGAGCCTCATAGAAACTAGGAAAATGCTTTAAATGACAACCCAAGCACACCGTTGGAAAGGGGAGACTCTGACGGTCAATTTGAGATATCGCGGGGGAAAATCGGTTTATAACTGCCGAAGATACAGTCGCGCAAAGTTGCAATTAGGGCCTTGAAAAACACAAACGTGGCTCTGTAGCCTAACAAACGACTCCAATCGAATTTCTGGCCGCAGATTCTGAAAGTACAGCTCAAAACCTTTCAAATGAGCCCAGAATGGTCCAAATCGCTCAATAATTGGCGATTTCAGCATTTTGGACTTAAGTAAAAACAGCCTAAATTTTTCAAAGGCGTTGAGCGACCTCTAATTTTGCGAAATTTGGAAAACCCCGAAACACGTAAACTTTTTTTTGGATAAAGAATCAATTTTCACCCGGCGGTCATGAGATTTCGAAACTTTTTGCAAAAGTGAAACACCCTAGGCACTCAGCAAGTCAATACTGAATGAGCAGCTGCTTGTGACAAGATAACATTACCAAAACCGACCCCCTTACTTGAAGGTTAAACTGACCAACACAACATAGGCCAAAAATTAATTAATTCAACAGTGTCACTCCACTAAAACATAACGAGAGGCTCATCCCCATCATAGTTATGATAAAAATTTATCACTCATACCCAAAAGAAGTTTCAAAACATTAACTGCGTTAGTTTGATCCGAGGAAGCTTCAAGTTTCTGTCACCCAAAATAGAAAAGGAAAATTCTTGAATGTTCATCAAAATTACTATCAGACAAACTTCTCCACTAACTTTACTCTCTCAAAAATTAATGCCTGCTTTTCATCTAACCAGAATAGAGTGAAGAGTTTCAAGTGTCACTACTAAGTGCATGAAGCCCACCTAGGAGTGACTACACTCTAAAATAAGATTTTGTTGACATATCATTCTGTCAACCAAGTTAATCAGGTAGGGAATAGAAAATAACTGAGTACAATACAAGAGTCATTGAAAATCAATAAATAGGTTTTTTTTTTAAAAAAACCCTTCAAAAGAGAACAAAAGAAAACATAAGTTTTCAAGAGCAATGATTAGAAAACAAACTGAGTACTATACAAGAGTCATTGAAAATCAATAAATAGGTTTTAAAAACCCTTCAAAAGAGAGCAATGATTAGAAGACAAACTGAGTACAATACAAGAGTCATTGAAGAATCAATAAAATAGGTTTTAAAAACCCTTAAAAAAGGAAAAAAAGGAAAAAAAAAAAAAAAAAAAAGGTTTTAAAAAGCAATAATTAAAAAAAAAAAATTTTAAAACCTATTTTTAAAACCCCAAATTCAAAAAAAAAACAAAAAATTTTTAAAAACCCCGGGTTGGGAAAGGTCCTTATCTTTTAAATTCTTTCCCTAATTCTTTTTAAAAATTTTGCGAGGAAAGCACCCCCAAATTGGGGGGAAGGGGAAAGGACCCCGGGGGGTCTCGGGGCAAAAGGGCATAAAATTTACCGGGGGAAATGCCCCCCCCTGGGGGCCCCCCCTCAATTTTGGCCGGGGGAAAAGCATGCCCCCCAACGGGGGCCCCGGCGGGGCGGGGCGGGAAGGGGAAATTCCAACCCGGGGTGGGACTTCCCCCCCAAAACGGCAGGGGGGGACAAAAAGCCCCTTTGGCTGGGGAAAAGGAAAAACCACCCTTTGCCCAAAGGGGCCCCGGGCCCCCGCCCTGCGGGAGGTCGGGGCTGGGGCAGAAGGGGCCACCCCCCTTCCCCGGGGCCCCGGTTGGGGGCCAAGGGCAAAAAAGCCCCCAAAAGGAGGGTTCTGGCTGTGGCAGCATGCCCACCAGCTCCGGCAGGGGCAGCAGGAAGAGAATTCGCAGCATGCCCACCAGCTCTGGCAGGGGCAGCAACTGGAGCCCTCCCAGGGGCACCAGCATGGACTCTGCCTCTTCTAGAGACGCGTACGTGAGGCCCAGATTCGCTTTCTTCAATCTCATCCGTTGGAAAGACTTCAGGAGGAGGAGGGGGGGTCCTCTCGGCCAGAAATCGGTTGAAGCGAGGTTGCCTGGCCTCAAGTCTGTCCCAAACAGTCTGAAACAAAATATGCCAAAGAACACATGAATAAGGAACACAACTTTTAAAAAAAACAAGATTCTTCACATCAGAGAAAAAAAAAGCTTACAGATTGCGAGCGATCCTCGTCTCTTCCATTGCGTTCTCGAAGTACTACTACTGAATCAGTCTGAGTACCCCTCGTAACAGTGTGTGGGGTTAGGCCGTAAGTCTGGGTACCCCTGCTAGTAGTTTCGTTCTCTCTATCACCTAAATCCTGAAAACAGAAAAATTACAATTTACTACACTCAGAAAACCTAACCTCTAAATCATTGAAACAGGCACGAGAATCGGGCGGTTTCTTGCAACGACACATTTCCCCTTTCATTCACACAGAGAGACGAATGATTTCGGCACGACACTTGTTCGTTTCACTCAGTCATTGATAAATCTTTGAAAGGAAACAACGAAATCACTGCGATACGTTAACTAAGCCTTTAGCGGCCATGACACCTCGCGACCGACTCCAGCCCAACCGTGACGTCACCGCCCCGGCGCCAAAATTTGAAGTTAACTGACGAACTAACTGGGTTCAATTATCAAACCTTTAACGTTCCGTCTCAATTGCGAGCCGTCACGCGTTCGCCCGGGGCGCACAAACAAAGACAACACATGCAAATGACTGAAATTTCTCGACCCACGCCGCCAGAGGGAAGGACAACATTACTCTGTTTTGAGTATTTCTAACACAATTTATTCGGAATTTCACACACGAGAACCTCCGCGAGGCGCCCCGAACAGGATTCGAACCCTGAACACACCGAATTTACCCTCAGACAGAGACACAAACAGGGAGACAGCTCGGTTCCCACGCTCACGTGGCGGGGTCAACTCGCCGTAATTCGACTCTTTTCTGACCAAAAATTTTTCGAATTTCACACGGGAGTGCCATCGCGAAGCGTCTCGCACAAGATTCGAAACGAGAAAACACAAAACAAGCTGAACAGGCAGAGGCGTGCCGGTGCGCCCCACGACCGCATGGCGCAAGGTACGCCGAGCCCAGATCTCATGATTTTAACACTTCCGACACAAAAATATTACCTCCGCGAAAAGGATTTACAGAGAAGAGCACAGGAAACATTGACTCAGATGCAAAAAACAGTGTGGCACACCGAGAAAACGCCATGACGCTATCACTCCATGCGACGCCGACTCAGCAATACAGACATCCAGTGCTTTACTCACCATATTGAACAATTCTCCCGAGACGTCTAGATCAACACCCACATTCTCCAGAAACTCTGCACCAGCTCCCTCCACGAATTCGTCGTAATCTAATAAATCGTCGAAGAACGCCATCACGGGTGGAGCAACTGACAACTGTCACTGACGCCGAGCGAACAAGAAATGACCCGTTTGGACGGGGCGGAAGCAAGGGCTGCTACCACTTTTGGCCGGCAGAGTGCGCACCGGTCGTTCTAACGGCCGGCAAAATTCGAATAGTTTCCGATTTTGCGACGATAGTAAATAAAGTGTAGGATGTCAAAATCTCTCAAATATTATTTCCTGTCACTTGACACAGTCTTGAAGCGCTGACAACAGGTGTTATGCAAATTCAGAATACACCGGCGGGGGGGGGGGGGGGGGAGGGGGGGGGGCGAAGGGGATGGGGCTCTGGACAAGCAGCTTCTCTCAGACAGTTTTCCCACGGACAAGACATGACAGGGGGAGTATTGCCAATAATTCCAGAAAAATATTTCAGCCAGAGAAATGATATCAAACACGAGTCGGCATGAAGGGGACAATGAATGAAAGAGAGTTTCGGGTAGGTCATGGACAAAGGGGGTGGGGGCGCACAGCGCTCCAGGTGTGGGGAGGGGGGGAGGGGAGGAGGCGTGGAGTCGCTCGGCTCGGCTCGGCGCTCGGCTCGGCTCGGCCGCCTCGGCGGCCGACTCGGCTCGTCACCGACGGCATGGCGAGGCGTAGCACAGGGGGAAGGGTTCCTCTGCAGCCGGAACTCGCGCGGCGGCGGGTAAAATTCAAACCGGCCGAAACACGCTCGGACTTGCGCGCGGCCGCGTGGCGCTCCCAGGTAAACGTGCGTACCGTTCCCTTCTCCAGCGAGCACGGCGCAGTAGCCTAGTGGGTTAGAGAGTGTGTTCTGCCGCGCTTCGAGCGCGGAGGCACGGGTTCGAGTCCCGTTGGCTGCCGGCGCCTTTTTCACCAACAAGTTCCAGTTTTTCCCGTGAGGGCGCACTGGCGGCGCTGGCGCTGGGTATAAATCCAGGCGCCCCGCCCGCAAGAGCATCATTCTTCGTTCAGTCGCTGACCAGTACACATCAGCACGATGACTTACGCTATCTGCGACATCCAGATGCTCCGGGGCAAGCACGGGGAGTATGTTCTCAAAGAGGTTTCGTTCTATGAACAGAACGAAGCGGCCCAGATCCACAAGTCGGCCACCTTCGCTCCACCCTACCCCGGAGATGAGATCCCAGAGAAGCAATTGCGTCAAAACAAATACATCGTGAGGCGCTTGCATTCCCTTCCTTGGGAAACTGGCTTCTCGCCCTATGACAGGCTCCCTCAGACTCTGAGCGAGATGTCGGCGGAGTATGACTTCCTCTACGTAAAGGGGGATGAGAAGAAGAGAATTCTTCAATTCTTCTTACCCTCAAAGAAAATATTTGATGTAGAGAAGTTCGGTTGTCCTAGCCTCAAAAAATTACCCAAGGCCTGGGCACCTTGTCATAATGATACCATAGGCTCTCACAGCTCAAAAACATGAGCTGCGCGCAATGCGAAGCGAGTGGGTTTGTGGATGCAGGTGTACCTCAACTCACCTAAGTGAGCAAGCGCTGTAAAGAAAATAACTGAAAACACAAAAAAATCATAAAATGACAAAACTCCCTAAAAATGAAAGCCAATGATATCCGTCTGATTAGGCGCTTCGGGAGACAGCAAGCAGGCCCGATGGGCTAACTACCAAACAGGCGCGCGCCGGGCGGCCTGCCTCCCAGGCGGCGCGCGGCACGGAGCGCGGCGGGCCGGCCTACCTCGCAGGCGCTATGACCCTTCCACGGGTGACATTCCAGCGCCATGCCTGGTCCAGCCTTAGGTTAGAGCCCTCATCTTGACCTCCCAGACTTAGGTTAGGTTGGGTTAGAGCCCTCATCTTGAACGCCACCAAAAAATTAGGTTCAGTTGGGTTACACCCTCTCTCGACACCCCCCACCCCCCCAGGTGACATTGTCCCGCCATGATGTCGGACGGTGACATTATAGTATCCTTACTACTGCCGTGCCGTCCCAAGAAGCAATAACTTGTGTTTGCAGTTTTTAGAAATAATGGCTAATGCTAGGGGTACGCGCCGTTTAGTTTGGGCGCGTAGTAGGCGAGCGATGCGCCTGAACACATTCTTATAGGAGATGGCAAAGAGTGCAGAATAAGGCCAATACAATGTCTTCCGTAACAAAAGGGCCGGAATTAATGTCATTTTCGTAATTATCTTACTGAAAACTGCAGGAAACTATGTAAAACTCGACTTCAAAATTTTGGTCCGAAATTGGTAAATATTTGGAAAAGTAAAGGTCTGGGATGAAATTGGAAGTCATTTTCGTGATCGGCGCACCAAAAACTGCAAGAAACTATGTATAACTCGACTTAAAAATTTTGGTCCGAAATTGGTAAATTTTGGGAAAAGTAAAGGTCTGGGATGAAATTGGAGGTCATTTTCGTGATCAGCACACCAAAAACTGCAGGAAACTATGTAAAACTCGACTTAAAAAATTTGGTCCGAAATTGGTAAGTTTAGGGAAAAGTAAAGGTCTGGAGTGAAAATAAAAGTCATTTTTGTGATCAGCACACCAAATACTGCAGGAAACAATGACTCACTGAGAAAATTCTGGTCCAAAATCATGTAATTCTAGTTGAAAGTATGGGTCTGCAGTTGTTAACATGAACGCTAAGCGTGTTTCCTGTTCATGGTGTCGTAACATGAACCCTGACACTGTTACTCAGTCGAGTAACATTCAACAGTCAGCATTGAATTGCTTACTACGATTCACAAATGCTTCAATTACCATTCGATAACTCCTTGTTATTGAACTTATGAATACGCAATGTTAATTGTAATACCTATAAAGCCTTTTATCTACCTTTTATTTTGAACTAGTGGATGAAACTATATTGATATCTGAATTAATTAAAAGGGGACACATTTACAGGCAGGCTGATTGCAACTACTTTACGGAGAAGACCTTCTATGAGATCCACTGAATCGTTCCATTGAATCCAATGTCGAGCCCACTTTTCGCTAAACGCAAGTTAATCTTATTCATAATGATAGTCATGATGTGATATTTAATCTTTGAAACAGTATAGCGTAAGTATTTACCTAACATTCTAAGTAAATTAAAAAGAGAGCCAACTCAAACCATGACTGACACATATTACCAGTTGTCGCAGACAATGTATGATGAAGTTAAAAGAATCGTCTCATGAAATCATATGATCAAGTCACTGAATCGTCTCATTGAATCAGATGTCAATGTCAATCCTTGTATGCGCTACACTCACTCACCATATAGTTATCTTTAAGGTTAGTACTATAGTAAACTTACAGCATTGCAATGAAGCCTTTTCCCAGAGTCAGTGCCAAGAGTCAGCAAAGACTTTTTATTTTGGCAAGATTAGTGTCTGCTTTGTACTTTTGGATTGTATCATGGAGACAAGCTACTAACGTAGGGAGACGCAAGGTCCCGCTTCCTGTCACCAGGTCATGTAGTTTGGAGGGAGTGAGACAGACATACTTCGGAGTTTCTTTTTAACACTTTACATTGAATTGGCGATACTTTCGTCACATCCGACTACTCTTATGATAGTTTCTATCCTGTAGGATGACGAAGATGACATTTGTCACTCGAAATATCATCGACATAAATAAAGTCTTCAGTTTCGTAGGTTAGAAAATCGGACCTCTCTCTCGCGAGATCTGACATGACCTGGTGACACGCAGTTCTCGTGGTTTATTTCAGGGAAATATTCAACCGATTGCCAAATAAAAGGTATTAAGGTTACTGTAAGGTGAAAAAACTATCTTCTAAAGTATAGGTGGCAGTGCTTTGGTTTTTGGTGATTTAGTTGCTTACTATGAAAAACTTTTACAGCCACAGACTGGACTCCCAACTCCCATTAGTCCAAAGTTATGAGGGTTTTAGTGTTATTTTAGTTGTTTACTCAAAATTCTCCTTGCGATGAACCAAAAAGTTTACGGAGGTGTGATTTTTTATTTTAAGGCCCAATGGACATGCAAACAGACTAGCAAAGCCGAATTTCACAATATATGCATAGATAAGCTGTAATTTCTATTTGGAAAATGCGTTTTGAATTTTTTACTGAAATTTGGTAAAATTTTGCTATTTTTTGGTGTTTTTTTGTGTTTTTTGAGAAAAATTCCTGTTTCATGTTGGAATTTTGGAAATCCGGCTTTGCTACGAGATAGGCAAATCAATAAAGAACTTGTAGAACAAAACACAAGTCTCGACAACTTTTGGTTCATCGCAAGGAGAATTTTTAGTTAACGACTAAATTTGTTACGTAAACTTCAATAACTCAGAAAATAATGGGAGTTGAGTGCCTCAACTTTGGGTTTAAGTTCATCTTATAGTAAGCAACCTGAAACCTAAATACAAACATGATGCCACAATTATTTTAAAAAATGATATTTCACATTTTTTTTTACTTTACAGTAACCTTAACATCATCAATGATCCTTCCTGATTCCATAGACCAGATAAAATTGGATGATTATCGGAATTAAATAGTTTGAAAGTGTTGAAATACCGGAGGGTGTCCCAAACCTTGCGTCTCCCTACGTTAGTAGCTTGTCTCCATGATTGTATTAATCTATTTTCTAACTGTTATTGAGCAAAGCAAACAACTAAAAAGTATAATGTCTGAGAATAAAAATGGAAATCCACTCTCAAAGCTTGGAAAGACCAAATCATTCTTGCAATTATCAAAGACACACACACTCCACTGACTAAAACATTTCCCCTGTAGCAGGGGAGGGGGCGGAC